CAATAAACAAATATCTTGATTTACTCCACAAACTTGTCTTAACATCGAGACCAAGTCAAACAGGTTCTCCAGTTTTAGTGACAATGATGTGTACATAGAGGCTGAAAAGTGTTAGTTCCATGTGAAGACAATGCCGTTCCTTCATTATGTTCTACGCCTGGAGGCAGTAGAGACGAAGGATAGTAATGTGCATGTGCTTTTTTGATAAGCCCATGTCAAAGACAGTCAAGGAGATGTAGGGCCTTGTAACCTTCTGTTGGAGGTTCATATGGAACGTCAGTAATGGCAGGACACTTCACAGCGCTAATTAGGAAGTACCCTAGGACAGTGTTTCCCAACCTGGTCCTCAGGTACCCACAGATGGTTCACATTTTTGCTCCCTCTCAGGTCCCTGCCAGACAGTCCATATTTTTGCTCCCTCTCAGGTCCCTTCCAGACAGTCCACACACTGATCAGGACAAAGTCCACACACAAAGCACAGACTCCACTGAGAGCCATGTTCACTTCAACCCAATCAAACGCTTCTCTTAGGAGCAGATGTGGACATTCCTGATGTAGGAGTGGGTGCTGTATTGTCTAAACAGCAGGGTGATCCTCCTAAGCTACATCCATGTGCACATTACTCACCAACTTGCATTCACAGATACTGCTTGCTATAAAATGGCATTAGAAGACTAAAGGCGCCGGCTGGATAGAGCTGCCCATCTTAGTGTTCACCAGAACCTGAATATATATCCGGACACTGACAAACTTAACCCTTTTATCATCCTTATTTCACCGTTTCCAGTTCATCTAAAGACCAAGATCCAAAAATGTAAAAGTGCACTCTCCTTCACAATACATGAACCCCATCTGAGTTCCTCTGAACCAAGATTCTGACCTCTTCCTGTGCTGCTACTCCAATTAGACAAGCGTGAACAGAAGTACTCCCTGACGCACTAAAGACAGACACAGATCCCCCAGATATGCCACGTAACAAATCATTTGTATCCGCCCCAATCCATTCTCAGATTATGCAATAGGTCCACACCTCCCTCACCTCTGGCTACCCTGGGATAATGACACATTTTACAGAACTGGTCTAGAAATTCTTTTGACCATCTCTTGTCAATGACATAAGAGAATACATTCTATCCTGTCCTATCTGTGCCCAGTCCATCGTGCTAAAACCATTACATGTACCCTCCCGGCCCTTTTGCCACATAACAGTGGACCTTATCCTGGATCAAGCATCTTCTAAACTGTGGAGATTGATTCCCTTTGTAGGTCTCCCCACAGCTCTGGAAATGACAGAAGCTCTCTTTAAACAGGTCTTCGGATATATATATTTTTTTTGGCTCACCGCAAGACATAGTCTTAGATCAGGGTCAATAATTTACCTCTAGGAAGGCTTTCTGTGAGTGTTTGAGAGCGAGGCTGAGCTAAAGTCTGATTAACAACCTCAAACCAACAGGTAAAGAGAGTGAGTGAATCTGAAGATCGGGTGTTACCTGTAACAGCACTGTTCAGGAAATCTGGCTAATTGAAATAGGTATTTGCCTTGGGCAGAACAGGCTTCAAATTCACTAGTACACACCTCTTTGTAACTAACCTCAATCCATGTGTTTTAGACTACACCCACTCTGGGAGGTGGAGCCAACAGACACCCTAACGGTGAATGACTGGTTCAGGTGGAGCAACCCAGTCTGGGAAATGGCCCACATCCAACTACAGGGAGCTGTTCCCAATCAAAAGAAAGTTGCTGGCTGCAGATGTCAACTAACAGCTTCATTCAACAAGGTCACCATAGCTGCCTGTTCACCAGGGACATCAGACTTTGTCTCCCTTCATCTCAGCCCAGGGATCACCACCCCCATCCAGATCCCTCAACTCAGTAATCTACCAGTTGAAGCTGCCTCTTCAATATAAAATCTCCCCAACATTTCATGTCTCCATGCTGAAGCTTCCCCCCTATCGTCACACTGTCCTCCTAAGATACCTGCTGAGTCTCCTCTGCAACCAAACTTTAGTGGGAGACTCAATCACTCAGTTCTATCTTTGCAGAACTCTAGGTGAAGGAGAGATCAACAGCAGTACTTTACGGAGCGGGAGGAGTATGGCCCAGAGGAGCGGTCATAGGTGAATGCAAGAGAGGTCCTGGACCCTTCCCTCATAAAGGAATTTCACTGCATGCATCCAAATCACCATGGTCTCCATGGTCAGCCCCAAGGAGAATGGTGTGGAGGTCAAGTGTCAACTGCGGAGAAGGCAGCCCCTGGGTCAAGAACGTCAGACTTATAGACAACTCGTACAAATACCAAAATACTGGTCTCACTCCACCTTTTTGTTGCGCCTGACCCTAGACCGGGACGTAATACTACGAACAGCCTATTATTAAAGAATAGCATTAAATACAATGTTTCGTAATAACAAACGGATACTTAGTGACGCTCATGAAAACATTGTGGCATTTTGTGTGGTGATACAGTACCATATACAGTTGCTTTTATTATGACTGATTATTATTATTATTATTATTATTATTATTATTATTATTATTATAGGTAGACTCCAAATCTGACTTCCACTATGCCCAGATCTTCCGTGTCTGGCTTCACCTGTTTCTAACTGGCCAGCACATATATAGACCTCCACTCTCTGCTTCCCTCTGAAATTCTGTGAGGTCTTGCACGATTGCATGACCATTAACGGGTCTTGTCAGCTTCGCTTGACTGCCTGTCCACCGATCTGTTTCCATTTACCGACAAATTTTTGATTCCGTGCATAACCTGCTCTGCCTGCCGGTTTCCTGACCGCCGTCTGTTCATTAACTCTGCTTTCGTATTACCGTTTACATTGTTTGCCTGCCCGGATTGATCTGTTTTCTGGATTTTCACTATAATTGTGGATTGTATTACAAAAGATGGGTCAATATGCATCTAATTTTGGATCCTGTCTTCTCATTACAGAATTTTCATTTTTTGTTAATTATACATTTTCACCCATAGAATACCCTACATTCATACTAAATGAATGTTTATAAAATTTAATTCCATTTGAATGACAGTTCACAAAAACTACAATTTGGGGTTATTTAGTTAAAGAAATTTTATAATTTAGTCCACTTACAGCCTACAATTAATGTAAGTGTCTGTATTTATATATTACATATTTTACTAAAAAAAAAGCTACATAACATGTAGTATATTGTTTGATACCCACCTATTAAAATCCCTTTATTAGCTTTATATATATTATAGGTGGCACAGTGGTTGGCACTGTTGCCTCACACCCCTGTGTCCAGGGTTTGAGTTTTTGTCATGGCTCCATGTGTGTGGAGCATGGATGTATGCGTGGATGTTCTCCCCATAGCATCGTGGGGTTTCTTCTGGCTGCTCTGGTTCCCCCCAGTCCAAAAACATGCTGAGGCTAACTAGAGTTACCAAACTGCCCAGAGGTGTACGTGTGTGAGTGTGCCCTGCGATGGGTTGGTGCCCCTTCCTACTGTAGGTTGTTCCCTGTCTTGCGCCCATAGGCTCCGGACCCCCTGTGACCCTGAATAGGACAGGCAGTTGCAGAAGTGTATTTGCCATGGCCTATTAGTAATTTAGTACAGCACTGTAATTCAGGAGTAGTCATGTGTTTGTTTCCCTCCTCTGCATTAAACAGAACGCAAAACTGAAAGAAAAAAAAAAAAAACAATATTTAAATGGTGAGTATTCATTAATTCTTAATTCCACCTGTATTATGGTCGCCAGAAAAAAAACAAGTAAACACCAAATATAACACGTAGCAGTGGGGAGTACTGTGAAACATAATGTACTCAGTAGAGCTTGCTAACAAATACACGAATTAACAACCATCAGGTGACGACTGCACCTTTGCAACGTTAGAAAAAGTAATTATTTTATTGTACCGTATTACCCTTTTAACGTTAGTTACAATTATTTACACGAGGACCATATAAAACCTGTTATCAGTTACGAAACATATGAAGTGCTTAATTCAAGTGTTTAGTATTGTAAAGCTAAACTGTAAAAAAAACCCGTATTGCGTTTCACTATATACGATCGGCAAGGCATTTTCGAAAATCTAAAATCAAATATTTCTACATCTGGATAATATAACATTATGCAACCATGATAATATAAAATATTAATCTGTAAGATGTAGCTAAATAATCCAAGCACGCAAAACATCAGGGAATCTATAACAGAGGAGGGAATGGGAAAACTGAGCAATCCTTGTATTAGATGTTTCGAGTTAAGCATGCATGAAAGGCAAATAATACATTAGCCAGTGTACATTACTGTGTGATGGACAAATGTTATTAGGTAAAGAACTGCGTGACGAAATCCAGTCACAGCCGGAGTCACCATTATCCTCTACATAATTCGAGTATGCTTTAAAATAATTTCATAAAAAATTATACCTAACGGTTGTATTATTCACAAATGCCCACGTTTGGTTGTTAATATAAACATAACTAGACTTAAGATGAATTAATGCTATCATACAAAATTACTCAATTTGCAATATCGAATGGTATATACTTATATAAATAAAAGGGAACACAAAAAGCAAAATAATACCACTCAGTGTTTATATTTAAGCAGCCATTATTTTTTGGCGTTCTGATGTTAACATAATGAATTATATTTGTGAAACAAATGTAACAAAATGCTAAATTACGCCTGGGTTGTATGTGAAATATCGGTGCATGAACATGGACTCGACATAACAAAAACAACGGCGATGGATGCTTAGCATGCAAACCTTCACCTAAGTATAAAAAACGAGCTAACTGGCCAAATGTATTCATCCTATACGAGACGCTGGTCCAACCTCTTTCTCGTGAGAATTTCACTGCACACAATGGGGGAAAAAATCTCTTTTCCTGCAACTGCCTACTTGCTACAGCTGCATCGCCATCATTCGACTTCATTAACCTTCGCAGCGATCAATATTCATCACCCCACCCTTTAGCAGGTTTCCCGCATCAACATCACCCACGGACCTACCATTCCGTGCCAGTTGACGACAGTCCTAAGCCTTGTGACAGTCCGCTTCAAAACATCCCGGCGAGTTACAAGACCCCCGTATACAGCAAAGACGATGCTTTTTTAGATAAAATGGGAAAAAGCACCAACAAGCGAATGCCGATGTTAAATAAACGGGGTTTAAAAACCGGAGACTGCGATGCTGAATCACCGTCCGCTTAGCGCCTTGCAACCATTGTGCTGCAAGATGCTGGCTGTACCATTGTGGAAGCTACCAGGAGAGGTAGAAAAGAGGGGTTTAGGGAAGCGGGTTGCTGTAGAAACCGAAAGGAGCACACGTGACGTCATATCCCAAAGCAGCCACTGGGAGGGAGGAGGAAGCTGGTCTGCTCTCGCATCGTCCCCATCCAGTATTCCTGGCTTCATGTGCGGCTGTCCGATCTTTAAGAGGCGGACCTACATCGCTCTAATATTTAAAAGCATCACGCCTGACCGAATTCTTATAGGAGAAGATTAATGCGTAATACGTCTACGTGATATGCGTGGCAAAATAAAGGCGCTGCTCATTTTTCAACGACAGACATGGGAATGAAATAAAACACTTCTGATATGAGTTTTTTCTGTTTGTCATTCGTGTTTCACTGTCATTTACGTTTGGAGAAATTATATCTTTAGGTTGCTGGTGGAAACCAGAATAGGCAGCCTGGAGAAAACCCATGTGACACCTGGAGGACATGCAGTCCCTACACAGACAGAGAGGTAGTGCATGGGAATCGAAAGCTCAGCCGATGTGAACAGATTTGATTAAGATACTGTAGGATACCTGTAGTATTTTCAGAAGATTTCCATAGATATGCGTGAACTGCACATAACTTAAAGAGGACTGTGACGGTATAATCTATACACACTAACATCATATAAAAGTGGACAGAAGTAGAGTGTATTTTTCAAATGTACATCCACCTCCAAAACCACTATCCACGAGGATTCCTTCTTCTTGTGGCTCCATGCATCGGCTGGTAGCATATTTAATAATCCGAAACATCTTGACCAAACAGGGATTTCTGCTAATTTCAGGTGTAAGAGACAGGGCATTCTTTGCCAATGTATTTTCCTTACATAAAATACCTAATAAATGTGTATGCAGCTTGACTCCTAGCAAGAAAAGAAACATCTTATGGGTGCATCCATCACAACTGCTGATCCAGAGGTTATCTGGAGTACAGTATGGGCAGTGCTGGCTTAATGGTTAGGGAGGTGCACTTGTAATAAACAGATTGCAGGTTTGAATCCCCAACCAGCAAGGCACCACTGAGGTACCCTGAGTAAGGTACTGCTCCCTGGGTGCTGAATTAGCTGCCCCTTGCTATGTCACATATGTGTTAAGAGCAGAGGACACATTTCCTTGTTGTGTGCTGTGGTGTGTCAACAATGACCACTAATCCTTAAAAAAAAAAAATCAGTATGTAGTATGGGTTCCCAAACCTTTTAGTAACCCCTGTTATACACCACTGTGAAACACAGAGATTCAAACTACATGGTTATTAAGACACAGCTGTCAGTCTGAACTGTCACGTTCAGGCAATAGGCGAGCCGGGAAGCAGGCGAGCGAAGCCAGGAAGTCCGGTAAAGGGGTTTATTTGTACGAAAGACGAACAGGCACGGACATCCACGGACAATACAATGACAAGTCTGGGGAAGACTGACTAAATACAAAAGACAAGCTAGACTTAACAGGACACAGGCGATCACAATTAGGGCTGAACACGAGGTAACGAGGTGGGCGTGGCACACATCAGGAGCGGACGGAGCGGATCATGAATCCACAGTCCTGGAGTAAGAGGTGACAATGAGCACAAGCAAACTGTTGCACATATGATAACAAACAATAATAATCTATTTCACCAAACAATATCACTTCTACTTTTGCCACAAGGGCAGAAAGTATTTAACGTAGATGTCCACCCAGAAACCTGAGAGGAGACACGCTCTTCATATGAAGGTACTTAACGTGGACGTCCACCCAGAAACCTGAGAGGAGACACGCTCTTCATATGAAGGTACTTAACGTGGACGTCCACCCAGAAACCTGAGAGGAGACACGCTCTTCATATGAAGGTACTTAACGTGGACGTCCACCCAGAAACCTGAGAGGAGACACGCTCTTCATATGAAGGTACTTAACGTGGACGTCC